GGTCCTTCCCCATCTCTCCTGGTTGGTTTTTGTTTGGAGACTACTCTAGTAGGTACTACAACAGCTACACCTGCTTGCTTCTTGGTTCTATTTTCTTAGAACACCCTTTTCCATCGTTTTATTCTAAGGTAAGGTTGTCCCTATTTGTGAGGTGTGTTTCTTGAATGCAACAGAAAGATGAATTCTGTTTTCTAGTTCAGAAGGCTAGTTTGTGTCTTTGGGGGGTAATAGATGCCATCAACATTGCTAGTTATTATTCAGCGGGGTTTATTAATTCTTACTATTTTGTTATGGTAGTATTTTTTCTTTTATCTGTCAATTAACTGCCCTGGGATTGTTTATCCCTGTGTCCTCTTGGGTGTGTTTAACCTCTCTTCATACTAATATTTTCCTTCTAGTTTCTTCTGTAGAACTGGGTTGATTTAAAAAATTGTTTAAATTTGTTTCTATCATGAGATGTTTTTTATTTCTCCCTTGGTTGTGATTGATAGTTTTTCTGGGTATAATAGTCTTGGTTGGTATCTATGGCCTTTCAGAGCTGTAGAACATCCATGCAGGCCTTTTGGGCTTTTAGAGACTCCACTGAAAAGGCAGGTGTTATTCTAATGGGCCTTCTTTTTATGTGAGTTAGTCTTTTACTCTTGCAGCTTTTAATATCCTTTCTTTGTTCTGCACATTGTTTTGCTTAGTATGTGTCTTGAGGATTGAGGACTTTCTTGTCTGGTCTTGTCTATTTGGTGTTCTGTGTGCCTCTTGCCCCTTGCTGAACATTTCTTTCTTTAGATTGGCAAAAAAAAAAAAAAATTCTATGATTTTATTTGAAATATTTTTATATCTTTGATCTGATTTTCTTCTCCATCCTCTATAACTAATTTGTAGGTTTTGTCTTTTCATAGTGTCCCAGATTTCCTGGATGTTTTTTTTTTAAATATTTATTTATTTATTTATTTATTTAGTATACAATATTCTGTCTGTATGCCTACAGGCCAGAAGAGGGCGCCAGACCTCATTACAGATGGTTGTGAGCCACCATGTGGTTGCTGGGAATTGAACTCAGGACCTTTGGAAGAGCAGGCAATGCTCTTAACCACTGAGCCATCTCTCCAGCCCTTTCCTGGATGTTTTGTGCCTGGAATTTATTTTAGATTTAGCATTTTGTCTTACTGATCTATTTTTTCTGCTCTATCCTCAAAACCTGAAATGCTCTCTTCTATGTCTTCTAATTTGTTTTTGAAGCTTACACCTGAGGTTTCCATTTTTTTTAAAATTTCAGTTTGGTTTTTATTTAGTGATTCTATTTTTTTTTTTTTGCTAAATTCTGCTTTTATTTCTTAAATGATTTTCCTCATTTAATTCAACTGTTTGTACACTTATAGCCTTCAGTAGGGAATTTATTCACATCTTTTAAGTCCTTGAACAAATTTATAATTGCTATTTTGAAATCACTGTTTTGTGATTTGAATAAATTGGTTTTCTCAGGGAATATCACCATGGAGTTGTGGGCTTTTGGAGAAGGCATACTGTCTTGATTGTTCACATTTTTGCCTTTGCACTAGGAATGGGCATCCAACCATCTGCATCCATGGTATTTCTTGGTGTAGATATCTTATCTTACTTTTGTTGGGTGGATGTTTGGTTCTTTGGTTGCTCTTGCCTCAATCTGATAGGTTTGGACCAGAATGATGCTTGGTTTTGGATCATTCTGAATTTTAGGCTTCAGACTGTCACTAATCCTAGATCAGAAGTACTTGTTGGATCTCTAGGTTCATGTCCAATTAGTCCTAGATTGATGCAGTGGGTCGGTTGCGTGGGTGTTGGACTAGCAGATGGGGGAAGATTTGGGGTCCAGCTCTATGAAGAAAGGCAGAGACCGAACTAGGGGCGTGCTCGCTCTGGGCAACTGTGGTGAGCTAGAAGGAGGGACTGAGGAAAACAGGTCTAACTATTCTAGAGAGACCAGCATGGGGGAAGGGAAGGAGCACAGAAATAGTCTTGCTGGGTCCTGGGCAAGTGCCACATTAATTTTTGCCGGCCTTGTTTGAGATTGAGTATTCAGCCACTTGAAACATAATGCTTATCCTTCTCTCAACCCCCAGAATAAACACAGAAGTGGTGCACAGCATATAGTTTTATTTGTAACTTTGGAAAGGATCTTTACTTGTAGAAAACAACCATAAGCGAGCACTTTAAAAGACCAAGCCTCCAGCGTCCTTACCAAAGGGAATCATCCAGAACTTAAACTTGAAAACAAAGCCACATTTGCAGAGCTATTTATTCTTACCCTAAGCCTTTAGAGTGTTCCATTCAAGCAGTTTCCTCCTAAGGGAAAGTCTACCACTGTGAGCCATTTGTAGCGCCTTTTGTAATTTATACAAGAGATTTTACTAATGAGCGTAAAAACAAAATCATTTGAAGTCATCATTTTGTTTTTTGTTGGTTTTTTTTTTTTCAATTCCAAACATCTCTTGGTTTTAAGGATCAGTTTTAAAATATCCAAATCCAGGGCTTGAGCTACAGCTCAATGGTGAGCACTTGACTAGCGTGTGGGAGCTCTGGGTTAGTTCAGTAACACGTGGCTGCCCAGGGGCTGCGTATGCCCACTGCTTATAGATAGAAGGAACAAAGGGCTATAGAACTATAAAACAGGGAAGCCAAGGAGGCCTATTCATATCCTCAACACACACTGAGAGCCAGGCAGTGTGTCAAGGTGCTCCTTCAAAGGCCAGCACTAACTAAGATCTTGGGCCAAGTGTATTTAACAGCTCCTAAGGCAGAGTTAGCAAAGGACTTTGCCTCTTATAGAGAACCACCTGTATTTTAAGGCTTATTTGTTTATTTTATGTGTATATATGTGTGCCTGAATATATTCAAGAGCACCATGAGCATGAAGTGTCTGCAGAAACGAGAAAAGGTAATAGGATCCCCTGGAACTGAAATTATGAGCTGTCCAGTATGGCTGCTGACATCAGAACCCGGGTCCTCTATGAGATCAGCAAATGCTTGTAAACACAAAGCCATCTCTCCAGCCCTCCCACCTGTAAGTCTTGGAAAGTAAGAATTAATATTCAGGAGTGCAAATTCTTCCTCCACCCTGTCAGTGCTCAGGGAAAGGGTGAGGCAAATTCTTCTGTGCTTTGTGTTTCTGGCTGAAATGACTTTTTTGATGGAGAATTCTGTGGGTGTTTAGAAAGCACAGGCATCTTTAGCCTCAGCGGGAAAGGATGAAGCTGTCCATTTGAACAGGGGCTGGGGTCTTAAAATCACAGTGTTTCTGAATGAGATAGCTCTCTGGGTAAGAATGAGTACTGTAGAAACTGAACTGAAATAAATTACGGATAGCAATGTGATACGGGATTTCCCTCTGTAAGCTGTGAATGTTTTATTGTCATTGGTTAATAAAGAAGCTACTTTGGTCTATGACAGGACAGAGTTTAGCAAGGCAGGAAATCCAAGCAGAGATAGCAAGGAAAGAAAGTGGAGTCAGGGAGATGCCATGTAGCTGCCAAAGGAGAAAGATGCCAGAACTTTACTGTAGGTAAGTCACAGCCTTGTGGTGATACACAGATTAATAGAAATGGGTCAATTTAAAACATAAGAGCTAGGTAGGAATATGCCTGAGCTATCAGTCAAAGAGTGTTGTAAATAATATAGTTTTGTGTGATTATTCAAGTCTGGGTGGCGGGGAACCAAAAGTGCAGTCTCCACTTACAGCAATTGGTATTCAGGAGACTGCTTGTTTTTAAGCAATCATCAAGGACCTTCGGAGGATTCGGTGGTGGGAAGCTCAGCTTTTTTTGTTGTTGTTGTTTTGTTTGGTTTGGTTTGGTTTGGTTTTTCAAGACAGGGTTTCTCTGTAGTTTTGGAGCCTGTCCTGGAACTAGCTCTTGTAGATTAGGTTGGCTCAAACTCACAGGTTGGCCCGAACTCACAGGTTGGCCCTCCTGAGTGCTAGGATTAAAGGCATGAACCACCACCACCACCACTGCCCAGCTTGGGGAGGTCAGCTTTAACAGGTAATTGCTTTTAGGCTAAGGAGAACACATCTCACACAGAGATTTTCATCTGTGGAAAAACACAGAACAGAGTGGAAGGAGACACATCAGAAAATCTCCTATCCCGGCAGCCTGGAGGGACAGGAAATAACTCACAGGTGGAGGTGGAAGGGATTTCCCTAGCTGGAAGGAAGGGCATGAGCACAGATGCAGAGAAGCAGATGGCAGAGTGGGGAAGGACTCAATGAGTGTCTATCCAGCTGGAATAGGACCTGTATCTTCTCTGAAAAAGCTCTACTGAGGAGAAGTCTTGATGGACCCTCAAATGAGGTGGTCAAGAGACCTCTACCAACACTCCAAACAACCATGTGGTTTTGAAAAATGGTACTTTCCAGTAAGCCGTGCAACTTGGATAGAAAGGTACCCTGGCAGTTGGGAGCCAAGGAATACCTCAGTCACTGTAAACGTAGCAGGGAAAGGTTTCCCCAGTGAAACAATTCTGCTCAGGTCCCCCAGAGTGTAACAACTCTGCTCCGCTAGGGGAAGGTTTCCCCAGCGAAAGTGTTCTCTCTGCTCCCCTCCGGCTCCTGGATTCTTCCCTCCCAATAAATCTCTTGAGTGAGGTTTGGGTGATGATCTTCTTTTGCCAGAGTGGAGCCAGGCAGAGAACTAACAACATTCACAGGAACTGGCCCTTTTAACCTACACTTCCAGTGGAAACAGACCCTGCTCTGGCCTCCACTTTTAGCTCTGCCATTTTGATACATTTAAGACTTTAGACATTCATAAACTCAGCCTAAAGACCCCAACTGTAAAAAGAGGAAATACTGTATTTCATATATATACAGTATACACAGGATTTGTGTGACCATCAAGAGAAACAGTGAACACAAAATAGCATTAGTGAGAGTATTGTGAAGCTTCCCCCTAAATGTTATTTTTATTCTATTATTGCTACTATGTAAGACTTGCAGAGACCAGGGAATGCTTCTTTTTCTGGACTAAGAACACAGAAATGATTTTTTTAATAAAGCCATTTCATGAATGAATGAGTACACATGCGGATAATATTCAGAACCCTCAAACTCAACAATAAAATCAATCTTTCAAACTATGCTGGAAGCCTGCTGACTGTTCCTTGATTCTTGGGGGTACTTAGGCCATTGGGAGCTCTGAGTTAGTTGGTATCATGGTACAGGAGGAAGCCAGTGAAGGTACAGTCATTGACATTATCTGCATAGAGTCCGTTATGATCCCCATCCCCGTACACCTGGAGCCAGACTTGGTCGCCCACCTCCAGGTGGAGGAGCACAGAGCCAGAAGCCTGGTCCACATTCTTTTCCTGGTACTGGTCGTAGGTGAAGAGAACAGCCTTGTCCTTTTTGAAGAGGCCCACCTTCACGTCCTTCAGGTACACTGTGATGTGGTAGGAGAAGTAGTAGAGCCCGGGGATGTTGCAGTAGAATTTCCCAGTGCTGCCGTCGTAGTGGTTCTGTTGGTTGTAGAAGATCTTAGTAAAGCGGATGGGGACATTGGGCACCGTGACTCCAGTCTCCAGCCCCACGCTGAATGCTGAGCGATACACGTAAGCGCCTTCTCCAGGCTCGCCTTTCCTGCCGGGGATTCCGGGAAAGCCTCGGGGCCCTTCAGCTCCAGTCCCCCCAACATCTCCTGTCTCACCCTTAGGACCAAGAAGACCTAGAAAGGGAGAAGAACTCTGTGACTGCTGGGAACAGAGATGCCCAGACGGTTTCCAGGGCCTCCACCCACCATCCATGTGGCAGGACAAGGAAAGATGTCATCTCCACTTCACACACCCCGGTGGGTTCCCACAAGTTCATCTCCAACCATGATTTTTAAAGTTATGAATGAATTAAAAGATAGATGAGCAAACTGATTAATATAGAGAACTTTCTCGCTAGATAGTTCATCCTGGCTTATTGTTCTTTGCTTGATTGGGCCTGGTAGTTGAGTTAGTAGTAGTCACTTGGGGTCAGAAGATGTTCTGATCATGATGTATTCATCTACTCATTCGTCCATTCATTCCTTCATCTCATACCTTTCCATACCGACCACCCCTCCAGAAATTCATCTCCTGTAAGTATCCATCACAGTTAACTTGCCCAACCCGTCCTTTGTGCACTGGCTAACCAACCATGTGCTGCCTTCTAACCCCTCCGTCCAAATGTCCTCCCTCCTCTAATCTCTGGAGTCGTCCTTCGAGGGATGGCTCAAGTCCAGTCTCCTCAGTACAGCCTGATCATGAATCTGCATCCTCTCTGGTGCTCTTCTTCTGTATTCCATACCTTCAGTCTTTGCACACATTCTGATTGGCGTGTTGGAAGACACTTTGTCCTCGTAACCACTACCCAGAGTCTTGTACATTAGACTTGTCTTCCTGACTAAACCAAGCATTCTCTAAAAGCTGCCAGGTGCTACAGGAGTGTTCAGAAAGGACAGATGGCTGACAGTAGATAGAGCAAGAATTAGGAGGTAAGAAGAAGAAGAATTCATTGGGAATGTGGACATGGGTAGGCAGGGGGGAGAGGCAGATGGAGGGAAGTTGTAGATACCTCAGTAGATACCACCTCATCTCACTCAAAGAGGACAACTCAAGCTCCGGGATGCTTATGAACCAGATAAGAAAGGTTTTGCTTCTTGCCTGTGTCTGGGCCTTAGTAACTGGTATCATTTATCCTGCTGATGTGGGATGTCCTTCTGTATATGTGTTGTTCTTTTAGTTAATGAATAAAGCTGCTTTGACCTATAGCAGGGCAGAATATAGCTAGACTGAAAAAGATACAGAAATAGAGTAGGCGGAGTCAAAGAGATGCCATGTAGCCACCAAAGGAGACAAACCATGAGCCTTGTGGTGAAATATAAAATAATAGAAATTGGCTAATTTAAGATTTAAGAGTTACTTTATGAGAATCCTGAGCTAATAGGCATAGCAGTGTTGTAATTAATACAGTTTCTCTGTGATTATTTCAGGTCTGGACAGCCAGGAACAAACGAGCAGTCTCTACCTACACTCTGCAAAGCCCCAGTCTGCCCAGGATCATACCTGCATCTCCTTTTTCGCCCTTCTCACCAGGAGTACCATCTCTGCCATCACGGCCTGGTGTTCCATTGTGGCCAGGATGTCCTGGGATGCCTGCCATCCAACCTTCACAAGTCCCCTTGGGAGGAGGGAGCGGGACTCCTGGTTCTTCAGCTGTGGTAACCTCAGCATGACAGTGCAGAACTAAGAGCAGCAGGACAGTTTGGAGCAGCATCCTGAGCCCTAGAATCAACAAGTGTATAGCCATGGGAAGGGCAGATGCACACAGTACTACAGCTAATCAGCCTGCATCATTCCATCCCTGAGTGGAGTCTATTCCAAAGATCTGCACCTTTAATACTTACCTCCCCAGAAGGCCTTCAGTGGCTACCTCAGTCTTCACCTCTCCCAGAAGTTCTTCAATGGCTACCCCAGTCCTCACCTGTCCTGGAAGGCCTTCAGTGACTATCTCTGTCCCTACTCCCCCAGAAGGCCTTCACTTAGATTCCTTCTCTGAAATTTGCACTGCATAGCATAATCGCCTGCACATAAACCCGGTTAGCTGCCAGATTGTACATTCACAGGCAGCAGGAATGATCTGCTTCTAGTCTCCTCGTCCTGAACACAGGCCCAGGCACAGGGAGCTTTCTGAGATCCTGTCCTGGGTTTTTCTGGTTGTTCCATTCAACTCTAGACAGTTTCTCACTCCCTGGTTCTTCTTTTCCCCCTCATTTTCATATACACATGTACACTTGTGAGCACTTGTGTGTACAAACACAAATACCCACACACACACTCACACACACACTCATTGGAGACTACAGAAAGAAAGTAACTAACTCTAAAGGATATGTTTATTCTTAAAGAATAGCAACAATCATTCTTCACCTGAAACACTGTTTCGGTTTTGTCATTTCTTGTGTTTATAATCATCATCTAAAATATCTGCATTGCCAGTCCAGTAGGAGCTACAGAGTGAGATTCTGTCTCAACAGTAATACCAAAAGATGTTGTTCAGTGAGCAGAATAAATGGTTTCCATTCTCCAGTCACTAATAAACTGTATAATTTATTAAATGGCTATCTCTTAAACCCCTCACTAAGTATCTCTGTGAGTGTTCTCTGTTGGTTACTTACCAGCATCACAATGTGTTTCTTCTGCATTTTTGTTTATTTGAACTTTTTTGGTTTTGTTGTGGAGGATACTGTCTCGAGAAAGTGTTTCATGTAACCCAGCCTAGCTCCAAACCTACTGTAGTAGGAGAGGGCCAGAGACAACTGCCTGAATCAAGTGCCGCTCCCAGAGTGCACCAGCGGGCCCCAAGACTGCCTCGCGGCGTCTCTGTGGGCCTTTGTCGCCATCTACTGAATCTGGAGGGCTCAGAAGCATAGTCTCAATGGCTACAGGGAAATGAAAATGAAGCACTTTAGGTCTGACTAGTCCCGAGAGCAAAAGAGACAAGTTAGAGAAAACCAGAGGAAAGTCCCCAGATGTCCCTCTTGTATTTAGAGAGAATGCTTGTCCTGAAACTTTTTTATTACCGTCAGTCAGCTAGCTAGGCAGGTTGGTCAGTAGGTGTGTGTGTGTGTGTGTGTGTGTGTGTGTGTGTGTGTGTGTGTGTTCCTGCGCGCGTGCCTGTGGGTATGTACCCACGGAAGTCAGAGAGCACCTTGCGCGGGTCAGCTCCCTCCTTCCCCCAATTGGGTCCTGGGGAATGAACTGGAGTCATTAGGTTAGGCACCTTTACCCACTGAGCGATCTCACTAGCCCTTGCTTTGAAGCTTTACAGATGTCGTCTATCTTGCTTTGTCTCTGCCCTTTCTTCTTACAGCCTCAGCAACCACACTCCTGAGAAGTTTAACTCTGCTCTTCCCCCTAGATGCGAAGAAGTAAGAGTCTATGACGTGCCAATCTTTCCAGCGGGAAACAAGAAAGAATCCAGAATTCGTGTGGACTAATGCCGGCAGTTAAGGAGAACCCTCTGGATAAAGGGTAGTCCAGGACTTACCTAAATGTTGGGAAGGGAGGCAAAGACAGACCCCTAGAGTTTTCTGGTTCTCCCTTTCTGCTGAAGAAATCATCATCCTTTCTCACCTAAAAGAACACATTCTTCCCCCAAGGCCTCTGTGTACCCAGCACCTTTCTCTACTCACAGGTGCAGCTGTTCCGGGATCCACGAGAGTGGCAAGGGGCAGAGGTGCCAAACGGCACATATCCTCGGATGTTTCTTTTTCTAAGATTTATTATTGTTTTTTTAAATTTGAATATGCCTGGGGGCGTACATCTGTGTCCGGGCGCACTTGGAGGGCTGAAGGCTTGGATCGCCTGGAGCTGGAGTTACCGACAGCTGTGAACCAGGTCCTTTGCAAGATGTCTCTGCCCGCATTAACTGCTGGGCTCTCTCTCAAGTCCCTAAACATTTGCTAAGGACAGCTCCTAATTGAAGAAGGCTTCATTTCCACCTGATTCTGGGTAGAAAGTCAGCTCTGGATAACCACTGAAGGTTATCCAGTTTTTTAATTTGAAATTATTTCGGTTCTTTACATAAACAAAGCAATTGTTACACTTTGATTTTGAAAGATTTCTATTTCTATGGGGGGGAACACTATTGCCTGGAACTGAGTACTGTACATCATCTATGGTTAGAGCATGATACTGAAAAAAAAATGTTTTGGATAGGTCATGAGTTTGGGGTAGGCCATGAAGCTAGATGGCGAGGATCGTGTATAATGCTTTACATTTGGAAAGTCTCGGTCCTGTCATCTCATTTAACCATCACGACCATTTGGGAGACAATACGGGGTCGTCGGGGAGCCATGCACTCAGGTACAGACAACAAGCAAATAACCAGTTCTCACCCTTTACGTTTTTGTTGGAAGACTAAATGACAACTGACAGACCATGCATCCCGGAGCATCTGGAGTAAGCTGGTGAGCAATGGCTGTCAGATATGTCTGCACTGATTTAGGGGTGAGGAGAGGGGACTTCTGAGTGCTTGGGTGATGTCCAAGATGCTAGAGCTAAACACAGGAGAGCTGGAAGTCAAGCCCTGACCTAGTAACACACTCTCCGACACAGTCAAGAGAGTACTAAAGTCAAGTACCCTGCCTTTTAGCATCACTCCCCCACGGTGGTGGGTTAGAGACAGAAGATTGCAAATCAAATAAGCTGGCTTCTCAGCTAGCCCCCTCCTTGTTCTGCCCATGTCTCCCTCCCTGGCTATAAGCTCTTTGCCTAGACATATGATCATGAGACCCAGCAGGCAGAAAGTAGGGAGTGTTTTATAACCTTATGATCTGCTATACTCATAAATGAGACAATGGAAGCAGACCAGTGTTTATGGATGACCTGCTCTGGAAGGCTGGCATTTTATTTCACCCACACAGCACCAGGGGGGAGGGCTCCATGTGAAACATCTGGGGGCCAGAAAGGTTCAGTCATTTCTGCCTAATCATAAGAAACAAACAAAGTAGAACCAGATCACCATACTGGCCTTCCCTATAGTTGCCTCACCGGCAAACTCCATGGGAGTCATGCAAAAGGATGGTTTCCGTGTTCCAGGGACCCTAAAGGACCACACAATAGTGAAACAGATGTGAAATCCCACTTTGACCCACTAGCATTTCAGTAACAACGGAAGAATCTTGTGAAACGCAAAGTTGGGCTTTCCTATGGGACTAACAGAGATGGCTACATTGAGAGAAGAGGTCACTAAATATGATTTCAATGCCAGCCAACAAAGGCCACGAGAAATGCCAGAGCCAAGAGGAACCCCAAGAGTCCTCCCACCGTTGGTTTTAGAAACTGAAAGGCTGGGGGTGCACCTCGTACGTCCGGTTGGGACGGCTCCATGCTAGAAGGTTGGACATGTTGGTTATTTTCACCTTCATGAAAGAAGAAAGGAACATAACTGCACAAAATAGGGGAAGTTGAGAAAGTAGGAAGATGAGCCTTGAGAGATTTCCGACTTAGAAACCATCATGGATTGCAGCACCGCCTCTAAAATGACCCACAGGTCTTGGGCCCAGTGTCCTAACCTGCTCAGTGGACTCCTGTGAGATGAGGAGCCCGAGTACACTTTGATACTGGTGACAAGTCTGTGAGGTAGAGTTTACATAAGGTACTTCTTTTTGTTTTATGAAACAGGGGTCTCCTATGTTGCCCTGGTTGTCCTGAAACTCTCAATGGAGACCAAACTGGCCTTGAACTCATAGAAATCCCCCTGCCTCTGCCTCCTTAATGTTGGGTTTAAAGGTGTGCTCCACCACAACCACTACAAAGTACTTTTAGACTTTATCTCATTTAACCCTCCTATACCAGTACTTGCTTCTTACTGTGCTAAACAGGAGAACCTGAGACTTGAAAAAGCCAAGATGTTACCTTAAGAACATGCAGTCTTAGCCGGGTGGTGGTGGCACGTGGCTTTAATCCCAGCACTCAGGAGACAAGGGCAGGAGGATCTCTGAGTTTGAGGCCAACCTGGCCTACAGAGTGAGTTCCAGGACACCAGGGCTACACGGAGAAATCCTGTCTCAAAAAACAAAAACAACAAAAAGATCATGCAGTCTTTGGGTTGAATGACATGAAATAGCCATTCTTCTTAAAGATCAATAGTGGTAACCGAGGCTTGAGATCAATGGTAAACCCTCATTTAGCCTCTGTGAAACCCTAAATTCCATCCTCAGTACCACAAAAGAATAAATAAAAACATAAGACGGGTTAATATTGTCAATTTCACAATAGTACAACCCAATCATAAATAACAGGACCAGGAGTTGTCTAGTTCACCTGTTTAGTTCCTAAGACAATTATCTGGAAGCTTTCACTCGGCCTTAGAAGAGCTGTTTACATTCTCATGTCCTTACATACATGCACACATTCAAACACACATGCGCACACACATACAGACACACACACATACACACACTCACACACACAAACAAACACGTTCTCAAGAAACTGGAAAAGCAGAGCATCCCTTCATGAAGTCTTTAGGATGAGCTCCTGATTGAACCTCTTGTTTCCCAAATGTATCGGTCCGGGCAGTGGTGGCGCACGCCTTTAATCCCAGCACTCGGGAGGCAGAGGCAGATAGATCTCTGTGAGTTCGAGATCAGCCTGGTCTACAGAGTTAGTTCCAGGACAGGCTCCAAAGCCACAGAGAAACCCTGTCTCAAAAAACAAAAAACAAAAAACAAAAGAAAAAAAAACCAAATGTATTGGTCCCCTAACTTCAGCAGAGCACATGGAGCTGCTGGTCTTCTGGGTGGACAAGCAAAGGGAACATTTGTCTCCGAAACCTTTTTTAAAAAGACAAAAATGAGGGTGAAGGGAAATGGCTCAGTATAAGCACTCCTGGGCAAGGATGACAGCCTGTGTCCAATCCCTGGAGCCCACATGAAAAGCAAGATGCAGTGGCCTGCCTCTGTAACCACAGCACTCCTACGGCTGAAGGGGAGTGAAGACAGGAGAATCATCCCAAAGCTCATGGACCTTGCAGCCTGGAAAACACAGAGTGGGAGGATCAGCAAGAGAGAACTGCCTCAAACAAGATCGGAGCAGAGAACTGACTCCCAAATGTTGTCCCCTGACCATCACATGCCTGGCACAGAATGAGAGTACCGGTACACAGGCAACACACACACACACGCACGCATACACACAAATACACAAATAAGATTCTGAGATCTTAGGAGATGAAGTTGATAGAGTACTTTCTGTGTAACCATGACAACCTAAGTTTCCATCCCCAGAACCCATGTCAAAGCCTGTCAGAGACAGGAGCCTCCCTGGAGCTCCATGACCAATGAGTTTGGCCTTCTTCATCAAGCTCCAGGTTCAGTAAGAGACCTTGTCTCTCCTGTTAAAAATTAAAGTGGAAGTTAAGAAAGATGCCTCTGGCTTCCATGTGCAATTGCACACATGTTCATGTGCACAAGACAAGAAGCAAGCCGTGTCTCTCAGGATTCCTCAAGACATGGGGATGGAGGCATCGAGGATCTCTTGTTAAGTTTTGGGAACCAAAGTGCTCCAAGAACCAAGCTACACTCGACCTCTTCCACTAGCCCTCTTGCTCACAAAATCCATCTGACCAAATTATCTGCCCTCATTTTTAACGGAGTCACAAGGAGTGAGATGGTTGTGCCCTTGTCTTAAAACAAATTCTCCAGATAAGAGGACTTACATCTCATGACACACAAAAGAGGCTCCCTGAACTTCCCAACCCTCCCCACTTTACCCGTCTACCACCAGGGTCCTGATGCCATGTTCACTGGGACAAGAATTGGGTTTGGCAAAGACCAAGCAGGCCCAAAGTTTCTGTCAGAAAACATCTTTCAAAATATGGCTTTCTGTCCAGATTGCCACTATATTCCAGACCTCTTAGTGTCACCCAGTCCCCTCAAGCATCCTCAATGGCTCATGCTGACAGCTCTTCGGACAACAGCAAGACCACACCCATTTCTTCCCCTCAGTCCTGACTGTTCTATGGCATCTACTCTGCTCATATCTGCTGAGTAGAGCTAAGCAGTAGAAATGGATTCTAAACTCGTCCGACTTCAGAACTCAACGTGGCTTCCCCAAGTTGTCTCTCTGCCTGCTTCTTTATCATCTTAACTCATAAAGCGGCGAGGCGAGATATCCCTTTTTCCATCGGAATTGCATCTGTGGATGAAGCCTCCCACTTCACTAACTCCAAGTTTTGTTTTGTTTTTTTGTTTTTTCTCAGTGAGCACCTTGCTATCAAATGTACTGAGCAAAGTTCAGCATAGCCTCAAGCATTTGGACCAAAAGAGATAATTCTCTTAGAACTCTGAACAATAGATGAAGAGCCCAGTGCCTATCTAGCCCAGTTGGTGTTTCCTTGGTCTGAGTTTCCTCTACATCCATCCTTACACTCCTGTGGAGAGCAAAATCTAAACACAGCCCAGCCAGAATTGGCATTTATATGCACACAACCAGGAATTTAGTAGAACTATTCTTACCTTCTGGTGTAGTCAGATCTACTGGCTACCGTACAGACAAAAATGAGGAGAAAATGGCCTGGTCTTATGAGTGAGACCGGTACTCATGGGGACAGGCAGTCCCCATTTCACTATTGGCCAGCCCAGTGAGGGACAGCAGCCAGTGAGCAGCGCCCCTTGCCCCTGGCAGCTGCCTTGAGTCTCCACCCCAGGGAACCTGGTTTAATCCCGCTTGGGTTTGGGAAGCCAAGTAGAGCTTCAGTCAAACTCTCATGCGCCCAGGCTCTGGCCGTGCTCTTCCAGAGCAGATGGGGCAAGGGTAAAGACAACAATAAAAACAAGATGTCTCCAGATGTAACGAGAAACATCCTCAAGTAAAACGAATTGCTCTGGGATCAGGAGACCTCCCTCTCCCATAAGTTTGCCTTGGTAAGTCGACAACACTAACTCTTGCATTGTACTCCTGCTTATTGTGTGGAACTAAAGGTGAGGCTGTGGGGTTCAATATTTCAGCAAGAATGATGAGGGACCGCCCTAGGAGAAAAAGTAGAAGGGATCCTCCCCTCTCTGACCGGGAAAGACCATGTGTACCAGTGATTCTCAACCTTCCTAATGCTGCAGCCCTTCAGTGCAGTTCCTCATGTTGTGGTGACCCCAACCATAACATTATTTTCATTGATATTTCATAGCTGTAATTTTGCTATTGTTATGAATCACAATGTAAATATCTGATGTTTCCTATGGTCTTAAGCAATCCCTGTGAAAGCGTCCTTCGACCCCCAAAGGGACTGTGATCTACAGGTTGAGAAATGCTGATGTGTATGACCTCTGACAACTAAGGTACAGGGGAAGTTCCTGCTGCGGTGTGGGACAAGTTCAAGGCCTTTAGCAGTTCCGAATTCCAAAATCCACGGTCCTTACATAATTCAAGCCCAGTATCACAGAAAACTTGCATTGGCATCAGAGCACTGTCTTTTAAGATTTCCTGGTTCCAAATGTCAAGATAAAGTTTTGAAAACTAATTTTCTATGTATAGATAAGCCTTGTTTTCCCAGTCCCCTCAGTATACACCTCCTCCATCTATTGGGAATACCAGGTTTGGGTTCTAGGAACCCGCTAAGCTTTTCCTAGAAGGCTTGAGGTTGGAAAACCAGTGCGAACCCATGTCTTGTATTTGAAAGCCCAGAGTTGGTGCTCAGGAGCACAGATTTGAAGAACTGAATCATGCTTCCAGACGGAGCTCTGGATGCCAGAAGTAGCTTCAGTAAGTCCTTCAGAAATAGAATGTTCCAGGCACAGGCTGGGCAAGTGTCTGCTGCTGCCAACTACAAGCTTGCCTGGCCACACAGAGCCTAAAAGTCTTGCTTCTACTGGTGAATGGGACAACATTGTCAAGCCCACCGAGAAAGGAAAGTCCAAGTATACCCTTACACTGTGTCTTCCTATTAATACACAGATGTTTAAGAGTAAGAGAAACATACCCGGGGCATGAAGCTGGATCTCTCTAACTGCAAAGGGCATATGCTTACTAATGCCTCATGGCCTTCACCTCTCCTCATTTATACACCTTATGGTAGTTTTGATCATCTGTCCCCGCCTTCCATATTGGCACCCTGCTGATTTCAGCAGATTCTAACGATTGCACAAGACAGCGTGACTTTCACCCCAAAACTACACCAATACTTTGCTGGGTCTGGGAGTCAGCCAGCTGCATTGTGAAAGCCTGTCATTGTATGAAGCCTCAGGAGAATCCACCTCCCACCACAGAGGGCATGATGTGGAAACAAATGCTCACTAAGAGACTAGAAGGGAAAAACATTAAACCACACATGTCTTGGGCCTAGTTTTTCTGAGGATAGCTGTGTTACTGGCCAGAACGAAATAGCCACAGAAATTTGGTCATTTCCTTTGGGAGCTCTGTCCACAGTTCAAGCCTTTGTCTCAGTGTGAAGTGAGACACTAAAGTAAAAGGCCAGATGCCCGAGTTTCCATAAGTGTGGCTAAATTTGGATGTATATTATTGCTTAATCATGACTTTTAAAATTTCTCACTGAAATAACATAAAATTGTATTTTGAGACATAATTCTGCGGAAGAGTGAGTCTCTCCTGCAGCACCCTGAATCCCTAGATATTCAAGAAAGAAATATGTCTTTGCCTTAGAAGAATAACTCAGTGGTAAAGTGGTACGCTGACTCCTGTTCTCTATCCTTGGTACCAGGAAAGAAAATAAAGCAAAATACCAGCCTATGTGCTATACAAAGACAGATCCGTGGTCATCCAAAGCAGGTCTGATGGGCACTGAGGTGCCTGTGGCATCAGTGCCAGAGCCAACATTGCCTTTACTGACAGACTGCTGCTGCCTCGGGCCTGCATAGCTTGGACGGGCAACCTTAGACTCATGTGTTGAAACTCCATGTCCTCTTTTGCATTTTGCTTTTTAAGTTTTCATACAAGGGTATAGTCCACTTGGAGCACATTCTTCCTTTTCTTGCCCCCCCCCACTGTGCTCTTTGTCCCCTAGACATTCTCACTTGTGTTTTCATTGGACATAGAGGATCTTGTGTACGTCTATAAAACCCAGGACCGCAGATGAGGGAACACACACGCAATCTGCCCTTCTCAGACTGGCTCCATTCCCGGGCTACAGCTGTCTTCAGCTGCACACGTTTCTCCACGCATGACAGAACCTGATCCTTCTTTACAGCTAAAGGAAAAATTCCAAAAAAATAAAATAAAATAAAATAAAAAATAAAAAGCCGGGCGATGGTGGCGCATGCCTTTAATCCCAGCACTCGGGAGGCAGAGGCAGGCGGATCTCTGTGAGTTCGAGACCAGCCTGGTCTACAGAGCTAGTTCCAGGGTAGGCTCCAAAGCCACAGAGAAACCCTGTCTCGAAAAAGCAAAAATAAAATAAAATAAAATAAAAAAATAAAGGAAAAATTCCCCTGAGCACATGCCACCATTTTCTTTAAGCAGTTTCTATGTTGGACACCTAAATTGGTTCGCTAGATTGGAGCTGCCGTAAGCATGAGCGCGCAGCCTCTGCAAGGGGCTGGCCTGGGTTAACAGTGAGCAGCGGCAGATCCAGGCTTTGTGTGGTAGACCCAGTTTTCTTTTTGTGAGAATCCCCAAGACTGATTTTCGTAGGGGCTAGACTAGTTTTCATTCCTACCACAGTGTGTAAACCTTCCTATCTTGTCTATAGTCCTTGACAGAATTCATCCTTATCCGTTTTCCTACCAAAGCCATTCTGGCTTGGGTAAGATGGAATCACAAGGTTTTATAAAAAGCTGACAATGCTCTCCCCATCGGGGAATCGAACCCCGGTCTCCCGCGTGACAGGCGGGGATATTTTTTTTTTGTATGTACTTTTTTCCTTTATTTGAGTTTCAATAAGTAGTCCTTCAAAAGTTGATTGTACACTGTAATTATGACTCTTCACTCAGTACATAAACAGCCCATGTGCAGCCCTGAACTCATAAAATAATTGCTCCAAAAAGAATCCTCAAGGTTTTGCACCAGGTTCTCTGTGTATATGCTACGATTTTTTAGTTTGGGGTGTTTTTTTTTTATTTTGTATTTTTTATTTTATTTTATTTTTTATTGAGAAAAAAAAATTTTCCGCCTCCTCCCAGCCTCCCACTCCTCCCCCCTCCCCCCACTCCTCTCCCCCTCCCTCTCAAGTCTGAAGAGCAGTCAGGGTTCCCTGCCCTGTGGAAAGTCCAAAGTCCTCCCCCCTCCGTCCTGGTCTAGGAAGGTGAACATCCAAACTGGCTAGGCTCCCACAAAGCCAGAACATGTAGTAGGATCAAAACCCAGTGCCATTGTCCTTGGCTTCTCAGCAGCCCTCATTGTTCGCCATGTTCAGAGCGTCCGGTTTTATCCCCTGCTTTTTCAGTCACAGTCCAGCTGGCCTTGGTGAGCTCCCAATAGATCAGCCCCACTGTCTCCGTCGATGGGTGCACCCCTCTTGGTCCTGATTTCCTTGCTCATCTTCTCCCTCCTTCTGTTCCTCATTGGGACTTTGGGAGCTCAGTCCAGTGCTCCAGTGTGGGTCTCTGTCTCTATCTCCATCCATCGCCAGGTTCTATGGTGATATGCAAAATATTCATCAGTATGGCTATAGTATAGGATCATTTCAGGTTCCCTATCTTCAGCTGCCCCAGGAACTAACTGGGGACCTCGCCTTGGGCACCTGGAAGCCCCTCTAGGTCCAAGTCTCTTCCCAACCCTAAGATGGCTCCCTTAATTAAGATATGTGCTTCCCTGCTCCCCTATCCAACCTTCCTTTATCCCAATCATCCCGTTGCCCCAAGTTCTCCCCATCCTACCCTTCTCACTTTTCTCTCCCCATCTCCCCTTACACCCCTCCCACTCCACCCTTAAGATCCCGATTTTTTGCTTGGCAATCTTGTCTACTTCCCCTACCCAGGAGGATTATTTGTAATAGCCAGAACCTGGAAACAACCTAGATGTCCTTCAATGGAAGAATGGATGAAGAAAGTGTGGAATATATACACATTAGAGTACTACTCAGCGGTAAAAAACAATGACTTCTCAAATTTTGTATGCAAATGGATGGAAATAGAAAATACTATCTTGAGTGAGGTAACCCAGACCCAAAAAGATGAACATGGGATGTACTCACTCATAATTGGTTTCTAGCCATAAATAAAGGTCAGTGAGTCTATAATTTGATATCCTAAAGAAGCTAAATAAGAATGTGAACCCAAAGAATCACAAGGTTTTGATTTGCATTTCTGATTTGGGAAGAGCGCCTCAGCTGAGGAAATGCTCCCACCAGATGGCACTGTAGTCAAGCCTGTGCGGCATTTTTTTTTTTCTTGATGATTGCGACGGGAACACTTAGCCCATGTGGGCGGAGTTATCTCTAGACAAGTGCTCAAGGACGGTGTAAGAGGCTGATAGCTGAGTGGTGATGGTGCACACCTTTAATCCCAGCAATCGTCATCCCATCATTTTTTTCTTTGTTATAGCAGACTAGTAATACATGGCACATGACTTTGTACAAAAGAAATAATTTTGCATTCCAAGAGTTAGATAAATAATAGGAATTTTTAAGGTGA